GGGCTCCCGCCTCAGCGGCGCGGTTCCCCAAACCTTCCGTCAAGGCGAAGGTCCCGCGTGGGTTAGGCCAGGGGCAGCTCCCGACGGTTCGCCGCCTGTGGTCCTCTATTAACCTCCTGTGCAGCCAGCCTATCGTCCCCGGGAGCCTGACATCTGCGGCTTCTCGGACGGCTGGCTTCTTACAGATCTAGGATGCGCGCTCTCTGGACAGCTTCTTTCTCAAGGATGGCGGAGCCTAGGTCCCCAGCTACCCAGACGGATCTCTCCTGGCCGGAGCGGGGACTAGTCTCCGCGCTCTGGACGTCCCGGGCTCTGCGCTGGGGTGGCACCCACCGGACGCGACCTCCTCCGAGGTTTGCGCTCTACCTCTTGGCGAGCACTGACCCGCCTTCCTACCCCCGCCGCGGCCCCAGCCCCTGCTGGAGCTCCGGCCCCGCGCGTCTCTCCTGGTAACGTGCTCCCTGCCTGCGTCCCTCACCTTCCTCTCCTCCCTCCCCGGGCGGCAGTGACTGTGGTGTGAGCAGCCTCGCGCCGGGAGCCGCTATAAGCGGCCCGGGGCGGAGCGACCCCTGGCGCCCAGAGCGGGAAGCCCGGGGGCGGGGCAGGCAGCGGCCCCCTCCCGCGGACCCCCGCCTCACGGTTGATGCCCGGCTCTGGGCGATTCTGCATAGGTTCCCTGTTCCCACCTATCCTTACTTCCACCCTCTACCCCGAGTTGGGTATTCCCGGAGCCCAGAGGAAGCCAGAAAATAGCGATGGGATAAAAAGGGGTCGAGATACACAAGATACACACGGAGAAAAGACAGGTGGATTCCTGAGCTAAAAAGAGCCACCCCCCACCAAGAAAAATTAACATAAAATATAACAAGCAAACAAACGAGCAAAAAGGGTGGGGAGAAAAGAAATTCACCACCCCCTGCCCCTCAGTACCCATAACCAAATATCATATGGTAAAGAGTTCAACGGTATATTTTGTCTTGAACTAGAAAAGGCAAATCTCCAGCCACCGTACCCTCGACCCCCCAGCACTGGGGAGCACAGAGCCCAAGAGAATGAGGAAGCAGGAGAGAGTGAGAAAACAGAGGAGCCTGTAGAAGCCGGCAGCAAACTGACAGGAAAGCAGGGGGGGCGACAGAAATCAAAGAGACAGAAAGCCAGCTAGAGACGCAGAGACAGAGACAAAGCTTGGAAAAGAGACTAACTGACAGCCCCAGAGGGGGAGAGGGAGAGACAGAGACGGGGAGGGGGAGAGAGAGAGAGAGAGAGAGAGAGAGAGAGAGAGAGAGAGAGAGAAGCCCAGACAGGTTGACAGATCGAGAGAGAAATGTAAATGGTGCTCTGCAGAGAGACACCCAGGTCCGTGTTTGGACTCCAATGTGACATATCAACTGTGGGAAGACGCGGGGGGCGGGGCGGCTCTTCAGCAGAGTGGTAGGCTCTGGGCCTGTGCATTGTGACCGTGCGCTGGCAGGTGTGGACGTGGATGTGACCATGGGACCCTGGCCTTGTGTGTCCCTGGGTGAGTGGGGTTGTGGATTGTCTTGTCCTGGTGTGTGTATTGTGAGGGCTATTTGAAGAGAGGTTTTGTATTTGCCTTCCTCTTAGTCCTTAAACGTGGGACCCTGTGAATGCCATCTCTCCCATCTCGGAGGAGTGGAGTCCACTGGGGAAAAGAGTCGGCAGGCGGCTCTTGTCCCTTCCCCTGCCCAGCCTCGCCTCGTTCCAGCCCCGCCCTAGTCCCAGATTTTTGTCCAGCCCTAGGATCTCTGCCACCTTCCCTCCCCCTTCCTCATAGGTCTGTAGTTAGATAGGAAGCCAGAGAAGTTGAGAGAAACCCCACATAATAAATGTTTGGAGGAGGGGTTTGAAGTTGGTTTTATAAATTAACGTAACCAAAATGCAGATTAACTTCAGGACAGCCTCCTGTGAGAGATGACTGTGTCTGGCACTCCGGTGACCAAGAGGGAACACAAGCTTTGATAGTTCCCTCTCTGTGAGGGGTCAGAGTCCAGAGAAAAAGCGAATGGCTGCATTCCTCCTTAGGGCCTGGCCCTTCTGGGGGAAATGACTTGCTTACAGGGACCCTGGGGGCCAGAGACATGGAGAAGAGGCTCTAGCCCTGGCAGAGTGGGGATGTTTGCCGACCCTGAAGGTGGACAGCTGCAAAGGACTTCTTAGAGATTAGGCTAGGCCGGGCTGTCATGTATAGGAAAATGATGTGCAAAATGGAGGGCACAAAGCACACCAGGGCATGGTTATTGGGTGAAGGTGATTTCCTCATTTCTTCTTTACTGTACCCCTTTCCTGCCTCTCCCAGCCCATGATGGTTCAGGGAGAAAGAGGTTGCTGAGGGTGGGCCTGTGCGGAGGGAGGCCCCTACATGCTTGAGAGGGTTGGGAGAGAAAGAATTGGCAGTCAGTGGGGGAGGGGCCTCCTCCTCCAACCATAAATACAAATTTTATTCAAGGTCTTTGTCGCCATTTGTCTTCCTGGGGGTGGGGGTAGGGGGGCTGAGGGCCATGTCGGGGCCGTGCATGTCTAATTCCAGATCTGCTCCCCCAGGCTGGATGATGGATGGGTCAGCGAGAAGAGAGCAGGTCAGGCTCATATCAGCCTCTCCTGCCTGATCCTCAAGCCCCATCATGGACCCCAGGTCCAGCCACTCCTCTCCTTTCTCCTCCCCACTCCCTCCACTCACCTGAGGCAATCTTTGCTCAGCCCTGCTCCCCACCCCACTCTCCGACTCACCAAGACCCTCTTTTTCGAGCCCCTCACCTCAGCCCTCTTCTCTGGAGCTTCCCTTCTCCGCCTATCCCCTGCCCAGGCTATGAGCTGCGTTGACCGGCAGGCTGCAGGCAGCAGCGGTGTGTGTGGTGGTGGGGGGAAGCAGGCTTGGCTCACAGGGAGCTGAGGGGCCAACTCCATGAATTTATTCATGTTCTGTTGCTCTTTCCCCACGCTCTGGAATGAAGCTGCCAGCTCACTAGGTCCTTATTTCTTCCCCTGCAGCTGTCACAAGGAGGGATCTGGGTAGGGTCAAGGCCAGTGCTCCTGAAGCCAAAAGCCAAGTGTCTGGGTTCAAGAGGAAATTCTGGGGCCCAGGCTGGGACCTGGGATTATTTCCCCAAAGCTCTTGGGGAACCAAACTCAGAGGTCCCAGGGCAGTGATATGGTTGGGAAGGGGAGGCAAGCAGAGACGGTTGTGCTACAGGACATAGAAGGAGCAGTGAAGGTGGGGACAAGGCTGATGGGGGAGAAAGGAGAGAGGAAAACTTTAAGGCGTTCCCTAGGCTCCCCTCTATAAAAGCACAGTCTAGCCTGAATCTTACCTTAACCTCCACCCCAACTCTGTACTAATCCTGACCCTAATCCCAAATTATACACTTGACTCCTTTATAATCCTAATATGAATCCTAACTCCATATTCTCACCCTAAATGGAGCCCCTCCCCACTGGTTCTGTCCTGGAACCCAGGGGTCTCTCAAGAATTTTCCCCAGGGCTTACAGTCAGGCGTGCCTCAGAGTTCTGAGGACCAGACTTTTGATTAGCATGTGATTAGCATATTATTTGCATGTAATATGTGCCTTCTACTCTGTGGAAGTTTTCATGTTAAAATTTTATGAAGTCTAGCAGAAAGGTCCTGGCTTCTTGAAGGTTCTCTCTTTTTGTTCCTTTTCCCACACTCCTTATCACTGATCCCAATGCCCTCAAGGGGAAGAAAGGGGGTGAGGAGATGAGCAATAAAGGGCTCATGGGAGGGAAGAGTCTGGCAGGGTAATCTGCTCTTGTCATTGCAGTGTAACCTCCACAAGCCTCAGTTTCCTTATCTGTAAGAGGAGAGGAACCAGCTGGCTGATGGTTCTAAGATCTAAGGAAGCGCCCCCCCCCCTCCGCTTGTACTCTTTCCTTTCCCACCTTTTAGAGGTCATTCATGATGTGGTTCTCCTCCACCCCCCACCCCCCATACACGCAGTCTGGCTTTCAGCTCCCACACCTAAGATGACACAGGATTGGAAGCGGCTTGAGCTGCCTGGCACCAGACCCTTGATATGAAGAGAAAGGAACATTGCCCGCCTGACAGCATAGAAAGGGAAATAACATTCCTGGGTGTTTCCTGTGTGTTAGGGCTTTTACATGCCAAATCTCACTGCATCCTCGTAGCATGCTGAGAGGTGAATATGTTGTCTCCTTTTTACAGACGAGGAAACTGGGGTCCAGAAAGGAGAAATGGCCTGTCCTAGATAGCCCTGTAAGTGGCAGCACTGAAACGAGTTGAGTTCTAATCTCCTGGCTCCCTTCTCAGTGCCCCGGAGAAGAGGAAAGGCAGTGGAAGGGTGAGAGAAGCAGGAACTCCTGTTGAAGGGGAGACCTGTACGTGAAGCCAACAGGCTAGGTACTTGGCTCAGCATAGTCCCCATCTCCAACCAGCAGCGCTATGGAGACTGACTGACACCCAATGGGTGTTCAATTTCTAGCTAACAGATGTCAGTGTACATTGGCTGCGGAAAAGAGCTGTTCCGAGGGAGAAGAATATGAAGCCAGCCTGAGGAAAATGTGCTCAAGAGCTGAAAGGGAGAAGGGCAGGCCAAGAGGATTAAGGCCCGCCCTCCCTCTCCCACCTCCAGTGGGAAAGCAGTCTGGGCCCTAAGAGCATGCACACACTTTGCCCCCTTGCACAGAGGATGGCAAGGCCTCAGCCACTGGGAGAGGGCAAGTGCACCGCAGGGCCTAGCAGGGGTGGGCAAACTTTTTGACTCGAGGGCCACAATGGGTTCTTAAACTGGACCGGAGGGCCGGGACAAAAGCATGGATGGAGTGTTTGTGTGAACTAATATAAATTCAAAATAAACATCATTACATAAAGGAGTACGGTCTTTTTTTTCCAATAGTTTTATTCATTTCAAACGGGCCAGATCCGGCCCGCAGGCCATAGTTTGCCCACGGCTGGAGGCCCTAGGGCCTCCCCTCATCTGCTGCAGGAGCCCCTGGAACCGCAGCTCCGTGCAGCCTTGGGTTCAAAGAACCGCGCCAGCGCTCAGAGGGCAGAGGACGGGCTCCTGGCTCCATGGGGAGCGGGTGGATGTTGCTTCTAAGGTGTCTGTCAGGCCACAGCTTCCGCAGCCCTTGACCCTTGGCCAGGTGCAGCTCCTCACCCTAACCTTCCTCGCCACCTCCTTTTGCGACCCCCTCGTCCCCACCGTGCGCCTGCCCCAGCCTCCAGTTAATGAGATGTGGCGAGAGGCTGCACAGACAGCTGTCAGACCCCTCAGTTCTCCGCCGGGATATTGGATCCCGCGCTGGGAGACCGACAGGTGAGCAGAGGAGGGGTTGTGGGGGCCGAGGGAGGGGTGCTGGCTGGTGTGGGGCCGGAACCCAGGCGACAGCGCTATGTTCACAGCCCCCAGGGTTCGGCTGAGCGTCGTCGGCCCTAGGATGCTCTTTCTGCCTTTTTCCTCTTCTCCAACAAACAGGAGACTTAAGGAGCCCCACACCCAGCGCGCCCGGGCCCGGGTAGATCCGCGACTCCTGGTCCTGCACCCCAGGCCAGCCTGGCTCGCGCGGGTGTCGCGCGCAGCGGCTCAGATTCGGCGGGCGCGGCCCGGTGTTTCCTCCCACCTCCCTCCCTCCCTCCCTTCTGGCTCCCCCTCCTTCCCGCGCTCCCTCCCCGGCGGCCGCGGCCTTTATTAGGGATTCCGTGGAAATGTGAAGGGTCAGCGCTGCCGCCCGCGGCGCACCCCGCTCCCGGCTCTGCATAATCGCCGACCGCCGTCACTCAGCCGGCCGCCGGGGGAGCTCCGGGCCGGGCTGGGGCGAGGGCGGGGCCGGGGCTGCAGCCTAGGCGAGGGCGTACCTGCAACAGGGCGCGTCCTGCGGGAGAACGCAGGGCGGAGGGTGACAGGGAGCACCTGGAGGAGAGAGGGCAGGACACGGCCCCGGGGGGGTCCCTGAGGGCGGGCAGGGCAACGGCTGCCTGGGGGCTCCCGTAAGGAAGCGGGGACTCGAGCTGCAGAGACTAGAGGCTGGTGGCCCAGATACCCACGGCTGGGAATCTGGGGGCCCGAAGGCCTTAGGTCGGTCTTCGGTCTGTATAAACGGAACTGCGCCTAGGACGAGCCCCCTTAGGGAAACGGAGGGCCTGCGGCCCGGTGCGCCTCTATCGGAACGGAATGACACTACGCTTCTATCCCCCATCTCTTAAGTGAAATTCAACCCTTCCGCCCCAATAGAACCCAGAGGAAGTTCAAGGAGTCGGGTTTTTACTGCGGATTCTTTGGCGCTAGCTTCCAGCTGACAAATCAACATTTCAATCTGACAATTAGTGGTCGAGATGCGGGGAGAGGGGCTCTGGCTGCCAGGACCGTTTAACCCTCCCCGCGAGCGGCAGAGAGGTGGGCGGTGCTGGCAGTGATGAACGACTCCGAGGGGGCCCGGGGCCCCGAGCGCGCATTCATTACTCTTCTGACAGGCGGGCGGCGGGCCTGGCGGGCCGCGAGTGGACGTGTGGGGAAGAGGCCTGTGGCCGGAGGGAGCGTAAGGGAGGCGTTTAACAGCCCCGCCGCCTGGTCAGCTCCCGGTTCTTCGCCTCGACCTTGGTACTTCACTTACTTATGCGTGGCCTCTCAGCCGCTGGGGCCGGCCCTGGCTGCAGAATTTGGAGAGCAGGGACAGGGACCTCAGCCCTCTTCAGGTTAGGCGAGTTCAGATCTGAGATGCCAAGAAAGGGTGCGGACAGGCCTTAGGGCTAGAAGCTTTTGTCTGACCTGGGAGGAACTGTGCGGTTTTGCGTGTCTATGCACACAGAGGTGGGGTGTGACAGGGATTGATGGCTGTGGATCACGCGTGGGGGGCAGTGATTGTGTGTGTTAGTGTTAGGGAAGTGTCGGCCTGATTTTGTGAGCTGCGGCCGCTCCTTGCTGTCTGTGCCCCTCCCCACCACCGCTTGCTGTCAGCTCTGTCTTCAGTTCTGTACGAAATGGCAGTGTGCATGGTGACAGCTGAGGGGTGCTGATGGGGTTGGGAAGATAGATGTTACCTGTGAGAATGCTGGTCTGGACAACTGCTCCCTTCCCCC